GAACTGCTCCTAGGACTCACCCCCGAAGGCATGAAGCAGAACTGCTCCTAGGACTCACCCCCGAAGGCATGAAGCAGAACTGCTCCTAGGACTCAACTGTGATTCCACTGGACTAAAGCCTGGGTGGGGTTTAAATCACCAGTGGGCCCCATTCAAACGACTCTCATGGGGGGACAGGTAAATAGACAGTGGGGCAGTCGGGTGGAGTATTACACAGCAGGGAAAAGGAACAACCTAGAGCCATGTGAACGTCAGCATACGTAAGTCCCAAAACCAATGCTGGGTTAGAAAAGTAAGTTGGGGAATATAACACTAATGGTCCTATTTATGCCAACTTTAAAACCCACAGACCACGGTTTATATAACTTACAGGTACATATGGATACAGACACACATACATATGTGAATATTATATGTGCATATTTTACACGTGTGTCTGTGTGTACATAAGTGTACATGGGGGGGTTATATAGTAAAACCACCCCTGAACCAGACCAAGTTCGTGGTGCTGGTTGACTCCAGGGTGAGGGATGGGGAACTGGGAAGGAGAATATGAGGGACCTTGTCTCGACCTTTAACATATTATTTGTATTTTTAAAATCTCAAGCAGGTAGGGCAAACTGTCCACCTCTGTTCACTTTAGGGGAACAAGCTGAATTGGGAGGAACTGCAAAGCGGTAGCCCAAGGAGGGTGGGTGCAGGGGCCGGACCTGGGTGGGGAGCCCATGTGATCCTTTGGACGTCTCTCGTTTTTAAAAATATCAATTAATAAAAGAAAACAAAATGCCAAAGCATGAAAAGACAAGGAAGCAACTGCTGGTTCCACGTGCATCCTTCCAGCGTATTCTCCTGAACCAGTGAGACCTTATTCCAAAAGACAAGACAAGCCGCCTTCACTGTGCACTTGATGGGGCCGCCTGAGCCCAGCACTTGTAGGATGGTCCTTGTCTGCACGGCCGCACAGAGAATTTGTAAAGCCTCAAGGGCAGCTTTTGAGTTGGGAGCACTGTTTCCGGGCTTTGGTCACACGCTCCCCACAGAGGAGAACACAAAGGACAGGAGACGAGACATTTCTCCAAGGGCCTCCTCGGCCTCACCTCAGCCAGTGACCACCCGGGAAACGCAGACATGCCCTGGGTCGTGCCGCTCACAGCATCGCAGGGGAAGCACGCCGATAGCACCGTTGGTTCTGAGAGTGGCCTGGCCTGGCCAGAGCTCGGGGGACCTGGGGTCCTCGCTGGGGAGGAGTGAGGCCCAGATCGTGCCGCTCCTGCTAAGTCTGGGCTGCAGGACAACACCGAAGGCTTTAGCAGAACCATGAGGACGAGGGGCCAGAGGCTCTCCTCCCGGGACCCTGCACGGTGCTGCTCTGGACTGAGCTGTGGCCCCCCAGGTTCACAGGCTGGGGTTCTGATGCCCAGAACCTCAGAATGTGACTGTGTTTGGAGACAGGGCCTTTAAAGAGGTCATTAAGTTAAAATGAGGTCACTCGGTGGACTCTGATCCAATCTGACGGCTGTCATCACAAGAGAGGGGATTGGGGTGCAGACACCCACAGGGGGAGGATCCACAGGGAGAAGGCAGTGTCCACAGGCCCAGCAGGGCTGCCCACAGTGGGGGCTCGGGCCTCCAGAAGTATGAGAAAATACTGGATGAACAGGACTGTGGTCCCAGTACCCCACTGGCCACTGTGGGGAAGGAGGCGGGCGGGGGGGGGGTGCGGTACAAGGTAAATCAGGAGGCCAAGGCCCACTTCCCTGGGGCATCACCAGTACCCTGGGCCTGCGCGGCCCCTCCAGCCTCTGCCGCCCCAACAGCTCAACCAGAACTTAGGGCCTAGACACTTCAGCCCCTTTCCCACCCACCATCAGACAATTTAAACCCTTTCTTCAAATGAGACGCGTGCACGGTCTGAGGCTACTCGGGGCTTCCCAGGGACAAGTACAGTCCCCAACCGACCGGGGAGGCTGACACTGAGGGAGACCTACTGCACACCAGTCCCTGGATTTCTCCTCTCACCCACCTGATGATCCAGAGGCTTGGGTTCTACTGCTTCCATTTTACAGAGGAGGAGACTGAGGCCTCTGCAGCGTCCAGAAGAGCCCAAAGTTGTACAGCGGGTGAGCAAAAACCGAGCGCTGGGACACAGCCCATCCCGCCCCAGGACCCTTTCCTTATGCTGCCCTGTCTCCCGAGAGTGGGCTTCCTGAAGGAGTGCCTGGAACCAGCCTGCAGGGGAGGGGGCCCCGCGACAGCCCGGTCTCCAGCAGCAGCCCCGTCCATGCCGGCCTCCAGGTCAGATGGGGATTCCTGGCGGTTAGAAGACACCTGTGTGTCACCCCCAGGGGACTAAAACCTTACATCATGGTGACCTGTCACCAAAACACGCCTCCGTCGCCGGGCCTGGCACGCAGCCAACCTCCCTCCATCGCTGTGCCTGTGACTCCCACGTGGCGAGCTGACCTCCGACCCCTGACATCGACAGATGCTCTCTGAAGAGCACTTTGGACCCCTGGTTCTCCGAGGCTTGCCAAGGGCAAACCTCGTTTCTAGAGAAGACCTCCTCCACTCTGTCACCCCCGGCCTGTCTCCGGTGGCTGGAGACACACGTCGCGGACCGCTGAACAGTGCAGCCGAAACGCTCTCCAGAAGCTCTGGCGCTCCTTTGCCACAGCTGCAAACCCAAGCCAAGACAGGACTCCTGAGAACGTGCCAGATGTCAGGCCCCCAGGGAGGTGGGGAGGGGGACCAACGATGCTTTCAGGCCCCAGGGCCCACGGCAAGACCCCAGCCTGGCTAACGAGAGCCACAGGGAATCAACTTCCTACAACACTGCCCAGGGCTCCTAAACACACCTGGAGCCCACCAGGGAGGTGGCGGTTTCTGACCCCATTTTATAGGAAAGAAAACTGAGTCCAGGAGACACTGCCTGGTATTGGTGAGGCTATGCAGCCCGTTAGAAGTGGAGCCGAGACGTGAAATCCAGCTTTCTGAAAGCATGGGGGACTTTCAGCCCATGGCCGGGGTATCCGCTCTGCAGCCGCCCCGCCGGGGCTGTGTGGACCCGGAGGGGATCAGCAGACCCCCGTGTTCCCAATCTAGCAATGGCATCTCCTCAGGGTTACCTCCTAGGCAAGGCCACCCCTAATCCTGCCCCTCGGGAGCAAGTGACAGAAAGGGAGTATGCGTGGGGCTCCGTGCGTCATGCCACCAGGGCTCTGCCCGTGTTTGGGAGCGTCTGCCAGGAAGATGAATCTCAGCACTGCGTTTGTCGGCCGGCAGCTCTGAGCTGTGCCAAAGCTCTTCCTTCCTGCACATGCTGTTCTCACAGCTCATCCCAACCTGCCCCCTCCCTGCCCCGGGCCAGCCCGATTGATTCCTGCTCTTTCGGCTACGATTCAGCTCCAGGGTCACGGCTGAATCACGCCCCAACCAGACCTGTCGGGCTTGTTCGCTGCTGAATCGCTGACATCTGACACGTCGGTGTTCAATAAATATTTATGAAATGAATGTGTGGGTTGCATCCTCCTGAGGAAGTCGGGAGAGCCGTCTAAGGACGGTGCAGGGTGCGGGTCCTCCGGGAACACCGAGCTGAGTCAGCTCCCGATGCAGCCCCTAGCTGGCTGTGTGGCTTGGGCACAGCATGTCCCTGCTCTGGGCCCCGGCCGCCACGTCTATATGGTAGACGGGAATCACAGGGCTTGTCTGACCTCAGCGATTCAGCGGTCAATAAGCCAGGCTGGTCTGCGGACGTGCT